TAAAATAAATTATTAAAATATTATTTTTTATATATTTTTTTTTTATATGCTAATTATATTTTCCAATTCAAACACGAAATATTCTCGTCGTAAACACCATTAAATGGAATCACAAAATATTGACACAGATTGCAATATGTCAGGTATTTAATTCCGTTACACGAATATCTTCATGCGATATTTTCTTTTATTACACGACCGTTTTCACGAAAATAATCAAAGTTATTTCAAAATAACACGTGCCTCTACACGTGGCCGTGAACGATGAAGAGGAGCATGCGTATAAGACGCTTCTCGTGGGCTCGTCCACCCTCGCCGCACCCTCTGACGTCACGCAGCCTCTATTTATTGATCCATTACGAAATTACAGTCTATATTTCGACTCGAGCGGACTCGAGTAGAATGCGAGACATGAGTAGACTACAGTAGAATATTGATGTTTATATAGTAAACAAATGCTGTATATCCTTCATGAATATAATTTTCAGGGATTCTTAAATATTACGCAACTTCCTTGATTAATTTCGCCACGTTTTGCCGAAAAAGATTCCAGTTTTACTAAATAAAAAGAGTAAACTTTAATAAACGATGTTTTCAAATAAAAACACAGAATAAATTTATTTCTGTGTTGAGAATAATTTTTTCCGAAATAAAAAACTGGGATATTTAAAAAAATTTGAGATCGCAAAATAAAGATATCAGCATAATTAAAATACCAAGTATAGAATTGGAAAAGATTACATAAATGAGAAATATATTTTTATGGATGACTACGGAAAAGAGATAATTTGTGTGTTTTGAATTCCGAATTATTTCTCGCGGAAATTAAAATAAATAGATAAAAATAGAAATGAACGGAAAGCTATTCATTTGTTACGAGAAGAATCTTTATCTTTCACGACTTGAGGAAAATAAATATTCGTATTAAATTTCTGTAATCACCCCTTCTTTCCAAGAACGTTCAACAATCGCGGAAATCTCTATCAATTTCATAGCAACATCACGGCGTCATTTCGATATCTGCGTCGTGTTTGCGTATTCGCGAATATACGCATGCCTTTTCGCAGGAAAATCTCTCAACCTATTATTGGAGACGGAGACGGCGGTTCCAGGCTTCCAGCGCAAAGCCAGTAACCAGTTCTGTCGCAAGCTTCGCCGCGGCCGGATGCGCAAGTGGGGTGGCCTACGCGCCGGGGTGAAACTTGCAAGCTCCCCCTTTATCGAGCTTGCAGATGGCTGTGCCTTTTAGATTTTGACGTGTCCCTCCGTTCTTCCCCGTTCGTTCGTCCCGTGCGCTTCGTGGTACAACATTTCAATCGTTTATCACGCTGTTCGCTCTATTGGTTGCCATTTCCCGACGATCAGCACCCCCGCAACATGCCCAGGAAAGTCGGATTCAACGTCGTCTATGCCACGAGTAAGAGCGATCAGATCTATAATTGCGAAGTAAAACGCGTACTAACCTCGAGCGATGATTAGGAAAGAATTGAATATTACAAAGATCTAAATTTTACATTTAAATGGCAGAATTAAGTGGATAGTTCTGTTAAACAATGATGTTCGATTTATACTTTAGCGTTCTAGATTCTAGATGTTGCTAGACATACAGGCTGTCGTGATGAGCAAGATAGTACGACGTGATTTGTGATCGTTCTCATAAGGATTAATTACCCATAAGGATTAATTACCACAGTATGAAATATTTCAGAAACTTTTCATAAAATATTTCTAAAATATAAATATGTCCAGGAAATTAGAGTTTTTGAAATATTATTTTTTTTTTTACAATATTTATACAATATCTTTATAATATTCTTGTGAAATATTTAATGCAATACTTTAAAATGTTTTACAAATACTTATAAAATATTTCTGAAATATTTTATTAAAATATTTCAAAAAATGATTTACATAAATATATTGTATGCTATGTGGATAAAACTATACATAAAAAGAGGTTGCATTAATTGAAATTTTGGTCGAAAATGGGCAAATCAAAATTTTCTGATTGAGTCTATTATATAATACTAGTTGAGATAACAAAATTCTGGTTAATATAATCAGATTCTTCTAATTCGTTTTCAAATTGAAATTGTTCTTAGTATAATTATAATTTTTAACTAATATAATCTATACATCTATAGGAATATTTTGTGAATAAAAAATAGATATAAAAAAAGACATTTTTTTATATTCATAGAAACTTTTCAATTTTTTGTTATTCACCAGAAATTTCTTCTCATTGTGACTTAAAATTCAACCCCTTTGCGGCTCAGATCCGCATAGCTCTTGACATTCTAATTATTTCCATCGCGATCGCCAGAATCTCGCCAGGACTGCCTTATCTTAATACTTTTATCATTGCATATATATTCGGATGCATTGATTTCTGCCGTGTGAGACGAGTCTTATACAGTTCCCTCAGCAATTATTCGGCACACGTGTTCGCGGCTTGATCGACATCAACGATAATCCGTGCCGCAAGCCACGGAATTACTTTAAAAATGCATCAACAATGTTATGAATCTAAGCGCGGGGTGGCACGGAAGGGCGTATACGTTCTGTGAAATACGCAAATCATAAATTATATGCAAAACCACGGTATCGCGTGACGACATTGCGTCATTCCAAAAGGCTTTTCTAACTCTTGAATAGTTTTGAGACCTATTTTGAAAATTTAAAGAGTTAATTTAAGTTTTGAAAATTTTAACAGTGATATCGAATACCGATCCTCTTTGCGGAAGTGCACGCAAAATCGTAAATATTACAAACGTAAACGAAAATGTACAAAAATGGTTCAAGAAAATATCTGACAATGAGTATTAAATTTATGAAATATTTACATATATTTGAGTAACAATATCCAGCACCATGTGTAACTATGTGCGTCAATAATTAAGTAACGTATAGTAAGAACTTCCTCGAGCTCGTTTGACATTTTCGATTGACGGAAAACTCGCAGGTCTAGATTTGAAGTATTATTATATTATGCCGTTATATTAATCCCAGTTAACTTTATAATTTAATTCTTATATTATCAAGAAAGGTAATAAAATTATGCTAGAGCAATTTTGTTGTATTTTAATTAAAGAATAATTTTCATTATTATTTAATGCATCGAATAATGTATATATAATTTATTTAATAATTAAACCAGAGTGGAAAAAGTGCTCTAGGATAATTTTAGCACTACCTTAATTCGTAATAAGACTTATGCCTTAAAATTTATTCAGATTCTGAAATATATGTTCAAGGCGAGGAGGATAGGCACTCGTCGTTAGAGCTTAATGTTCACGGGCCGACAGTAAGAGGTTGGCAGAGTGCAAGAAATTGCACGTATCCTCAGGAACTGATTCTACGTCTTCATGGGCCCACGAAACTTACAAGAATACAGGTTCTGGCTCATCAGTACCTTATACGTAAGTTCGAATTTAGAAAATTAAATTACTCGAATTATAATCGAATTTATCTTCTTAAAAATATGTGATAATTAATAATGGTAAATTATTATTAATTGTTACATCAATGATTTTAAAAAACTGATATCTCTGCAGAAATAAAATTGAAAGTTACTAAGATTAATATATATTTTGAATTATATTTATATCTTGAATTATATATTTATTAAAAATGTTAAAAATTTTATTTTTTTTTTCAAAAATATTATTTATCAATTTACTCCTAAATTGCATAAGATATAAAAAACTGATTCTATTAAAAAATTTTAATCGTTATAAATTTTAATTGTTATAAATAAAATATCAAATAACAATGACAGATCGTTTTTCTTTTGATGAAAAAAATAAGTTTTTTTTTCAATACGATTAAAAACATCATTGTCCGTTAAAACGACATTTCGGCTAAAAAGCAATTTACCGACAATGGAAATCGAATTAACGAGCCTACCATGATTTCCTGGGGTTACATCGTCTGCTCTTCTTCATTTTTCGGCTGCACTGTCGGAAATGAAACTATACCGGACGGCTAGAGAATCATATTTTCGATATAAATTTAAAAGCAGATATACATCTTTCGGTGGATCAATATAATTTCCGAGAAAAATTAGACTACTGTACTAAAAAGAAAAATGTTCTATAATAATAACATAATTAATAAAAAGACTCAGTAAGAACGCGACATTTTGGTGAAATTAAACAAAATTGCTGATTAATATTATCATTTGAAACTCTGTTCATTGTCATTCTTATCGGACCTTTTTATTGATTTATCTGATCAGAATCCTTTTCTTAGTGCACAACTAATTTGATTGTAGCTGAGAAGCTGGAGATCTGGACGTCGAGGGAAGAAAATGCATCCACTTCGACGGACTTCAGTTACCTGGGTTACATCACGCTGTCCGACAACGCGTCAACCCTTTACAAAAGCAGGGAGCTGAAAAGCGTGGCTCTTCCAGAAACAGAAGCGCTGTCGCTGAAACTCAGATTACACAAACCGCACAGTAACGCGCACAACACATATTGTCAGGTATGTAAGTCATGACAGTCATTCAATAGCCGATTATATAAATTAAGTATTAATAAAAATTAAAATAAATATATAGGCCAACAAATAGTGTTTGAATAAAATAAGTTTAAAAATAAGATAAATTTAAGATATATTATATATAAAGATTAAATTACTGTACAGATAAATCTATTGTATTTTTTAGACAAATAGCTATAAAATTTATTTTTTATCAGGTTGGCCTTATAGCTATAAATATACTTGGCGAGCCTTATGGTCAGGAATTAACCGGACAGGGAGATGCTCCATACAATCCGCATTACATTTCGCCTTACGACGATCTGGCGTTTGAAATGTACGTCGATCGGGAAGTGGCCAAAATCATAAGGCAAATGGAAGTGAAGAAATTACTAGCGGTGGAAGAAGAGAGATTCGAGTACGCTTCGAAATTGAAAGTGGCTATGGAGAATCTAAGAAAAGCGGGGGAGCGTTTGGGCAAGTACGAGTTGGAGAAGAAATACGCTATAGCTTTGGAAGATTATGATAAGGCCAAAGCTAAAAAAGCTCAGGCTCAGCAGTACAGACAACAGGTCTATCAGTCGTTGGAAATATACAATCTACTCGAGGTCCATGGGGTGAGTAGTGTTTGAAACAACTTCTTTGAAACTTCTTTGTTCTCTTACAAAAATTTAATACTGGCAGGTAGTGGTTAATTATTTATTAAGTATTGAGCAGTACTTTTAACATTCAAAATAAGTACCCAGTAAGCAAAATGTCGACAGACTAGCATTTGATTAGAAATGTTAACAAACTGATATCAATTATGGCCGTATTCTGCTTGTATTCTGTCGCTAATCTGCTGATATAGCACATCAGCAAGCTTTATCATATTTTTGGCGGTAAAATTTGCCGACGTCATCAAATATTACAGACTGTGTAACATTTATTGTCTTTCTGCCATCAGAAATTGGTATGTTAACATATTCTGCTCAAAAACTACCTCTGCAGGCTCTCTGGGTAATTAATCACTATCTTTTAGTATTAAATTAGCTAATATTAAATTTTGGATTTCTGTAGCGACTAGCAAAAGCCCAGCTGCAATGATAATAATTATTAAAACCGATTAAAAAATGATGCAGCCTATGGAAAAGAACAATCTGTCAACCGCAGAGGACAAAGAGCCGACATCGGCCGATAATTTGAACACAGCGGCGTTGCCCGACGACATGACATCTCCTCCAAGATTAGTCATTCCACCTAATCGCGATGGTGCCGTATCACCAACTGGTCCCGCACATCAACCGCCCGTATCACCATTACGTCAGAAAACTAATAGTCCCGGTATAATCTGAAGAATATATATATATATATAATATAGCATAGTATATATAAAGCATATATATATTATAGCATAGTTCTATTTTCTTAACATGATTTAGATTTTTTGAATTTTTAAATATTTATATAACATTAAATTTTCGTACTTGTCAGAGTTAACCGACAGTCCTGCGAATGGTGTCCTTGATAAGCAGACAAGGGATCCCTGCAACAAGGGATCCCTTAGGCGAAAAACTAAATCAGCAGGTCCAGCTCTTCGATCAAGTTACGAAGCTTACGAAGAAAGGACCATTCCCGCTCTAAGGCAGTAAGACAATTTGACGTTGAAACATTATAATAGCATCAAAACAACGTTATAAACTTTCGTCGATATCCATGTTTAGCTCGCACACGAACGAGTTTACGAGAGAGTGTCACCTGGACAGCACAGAGACAAAAGTTATCTCGAAACTCAACGACAGGGAGAAGAAACAAGCCGCGTTACCTATTTCAGTCTTCGGGATGGAAATGGTAACGACAAAGCTGTTCCCTACGATGCTCGAATATAGGATAAGTAATAACGATAAACACATGCAGGTGGAAAAGTTCTACTCGAAGCAATTCACTGACAAGGAGGAGGGACTGATGCAATTGAAAGAGGAATTGAAGACATTCGATTCAGCGGTTTCGAAACATTCTCCGAATAAAACAGCTAGAGCAGCGATTCTGTTGCTGCACAGGGCTCTCAGAGACAAAGTTTTTAGCGTATATAGTTTGGCCGCGCAGCTTATCCGAATCTTCTTCGCCGAGTTTGCCGCGGACAGGTAAACCTTTCGCATCAGCTAGATATGTATAAATATTGTTCCTATATTTTTATGCTGAAGAGTTTTCAGCATTTGGTTTAATTGATGTCTTATTAAACAATTTATTTAGAGTGTCTTCAACTGAGATTGCTAGAAGCGTTGAACGTTTGCTACCAGAACTTCTGACAAAGTCTGGCGACACTACTCCGAGGATACACAATATGGCAGTACACACAATCCTCAGCATGGCAGACTGCAAATGCGTGCGGGAGTTGCACATAATACCGGTACATCTAACCAGACCAGTCAACAGCAGCACACATCAGAGGCTCGCATTGAGTAGGCTGGAGATGGTGGAGCAATTGATATTGAGCCACGGCATTTCCACGGAGAAACAAAGGTGATTCTGAACGATATTCTCAGGACACACGAGCTCGCATGAAGAATATTTACTAGATGTTTTGAGGAATATTGGGCCTCTGCTATCGAAACGCAGTCCTTCTGACTCTCGTCTAATCGATCTGCAGGGGTCCTTCCTCAAGCTCAACCTTGTATTATTAAAACGCAATTACTCTGATAAGGTATTGTAATTGTTGTAGCGGGTTGACTTGTCGGACGTTATCCGAATTAGGTTCTTCCGGTCTGCATCACCCAGCTGAGGCAGTGCGAAAGGTCTCCGAGAGAATTCTCGTGTTGGTGTACAAAGTCAATCCCAGATTGGTTCGAAAGCAATTGCCTCCTGATGATGATATAACACGACGAAATCTGCTGTATCGCCAGCTTTTCCATGAATTCGACTTGATCGATCTTCAGGTACACATAATATTCGCAATATGTCAAATGAAGATTTCATATTTATGTGCACAAATAATTGCAGAGGAAAAAGGAAGCAGAGTCAACCCATAAAGCAACGACAACGCCTACGCGAACTAGATCTACGGAAAATAATGTAACTAATTTAACCAAATCACCCTCGAGATCTAGCCCAGTGGTGAGTACCGGAAGTTCAACGAGTATCACGTCTCCGTCCGAAAACAGTGTCGACCATAAGGGAGATAAGTACGTATACACAATGCGAATTGAATTCATCAGTCCCAAAGGATACAGAGAATTATTCTGTTTATTTTGTTTGCGCATATTTTGCAGAATGTGCATATTTTGTCTGTCCAAGGGTCAAGTGTACTCCGAAGAAGGTCTGAACATACATTATTGGAGAACTTGTCCTATGTTAACGAAATGCGAAGCGTGTAAGCAAGTCGTAGAAATTTCTTATTTGAACTTGCATTTATTGAGTAAGTACATGAGAATTTAATATTTAAGTTTTAATATTCAAAAATTTTCCATAACAAATACACTAAGAAAGCATGATAAAAATTTATAATTCTTGCATCTTTGAAATTACGTATTAGATTTATTTTTTTTTTTTTACAGATGAATGCGACATGAGAAGCAATTACGTAAAATGCGATACGTGTAAACAAGCGGTACATGAAAATGCGTTCGAGGTTCACAGACAAGACAAAAAATGCACAAGTATTACTTTATTTCGATACGATACATTAATAGAGATTAACCCTTATAGGGGCAGTAGACGTATATGTCTAACTTTCTTCCTCTCAGTCTTTTTAATGTTTTCTTAATATCTAACTATTAATATACATATATTTATACAATTTATACTTTTGAAAATTTAAACTATAATTTTCTAGTGATATTTTAATTAATCAAGCAATATACTTTTAATTATAAACAAATTAAAACGAAAAAAAAAACGCGATTTTTTTTTTAAATCAATTAGAATGTATATAAACTAATAAAGTTAGAAGGTTGTAAATTTAAATAAGTACTAAATACATTTTAATTTGTGATAAATACAAATGTTAATAAAAATCCGAATAGAAAAAGTATGCCTCTGTAAGGGTTAAAGAAAGCAGAAATTTAAATCCTGATTTTTGTTTTAGAACCTATAGAGGGATATGAACGCTGTCCCCTTTGTTCGGCTTTAGTGAATCAAAACAAGTGGAGGGAACATCTCATGGGGGAACATCCATGTGTAAATAATCCACGAAGCAAGCTCGGGAAAAGTTGTAAGTCGTGATATCCCCGACTTCATAAAAGATTATTTAGACTATAATAAATCTGGAAAGAATCCTTTTTAAAGCTTTTACGAGAGTACAGGGAAGCTCTGAAATATATATATATATATATTATTTATATATATATTATTTATATATATATAATTTATATATATATATATATAGCAGAATAAACTGTTTTATAATAAAATTCGTAATTTCTATACGATTCTAGGTTCGAAATCTCCATCCAATTCACAAAATCTCAGCGGCAAGTTAACATCACCGACGGGTAGAGATTACTAGCATCAGGCAACAACTTCGAAGCCAACGGAAGAATTCGACAAGTCTTAAAAAAGATTTTGATTTTATTTATTTTATAGTTTATGTATATGTTATATATTTATATATATGAGCTGTCTAGCGTTTTTCATATTTGTACCTATTACATTTAAATGATTTTTTTGGCAGAACCCGTCCTTTATTAATAGAAATTCATGATAGAGCGGATTTTTAATTGTAAATTGAGAATCCTGATATTTAAAGATTTAGACATGTTTATTAATTAAGCTAGTTTGCGGAATCATGTGAGGGATGACTTAGCTAAGACGAGATATTAGGAGTTGTTAACAGATTTCATTCTTTTTATCATTGTTGCATAATATCCAAGAACATAATGCAGAGGTGCATCAATTATTAAAGGCAGTGATATCAGATGTTACAAAAACATCAGTCATTTCAGAATTATCTAATGATTCCTTGCATCCGGCCATATTTATAATGAAAATTTGTACTATACTACATTATGGCAAGATATGTCCAATAGGCATTAGAAAATGGAAAAATCTTTCAGCGCTCAAATGACGTTTGAAAACATATGTAATTTCATAAAGCAGTTATTTCATAGAAAATGGTCAGTAAAAATAATCATTTATCATTCCATCGTCAAAGTTTTTATCCTTTAAAACCACCTATTTTTTTTAGTCCGTTTATAATTTATACACTTTTCAGTATCAATATTCGATCCATTACCAAATCGGATTAAATAAAAAAAGAAAACGATTTAAATATCTTAATTTCCATACACATCCACGAACACATATACACAAACACATATGTGTGGATGTGTGGATAAGATATTAGAAAAATTGGGAAGCCCTTAATAATTAATACTCAATTATTATCAGATCAAAAATTCAAATAAAAAAGGATATAATTTAAATATTTTAATTTACACATATAATATATATATATATGTAAGAAATTAGAAAAGTTGAGAAGAATTTTAATTACGTCATAATGATGTAATCAGTTATTCATTCTTCCTCTGTGTCATCCTTGTTTTTTGTTACAATTTTTTCATTAATCTTCAGTTTTAACTTCAGTTTCACATTCAGTTTTAACATCGCTGTTGTTGACGTCCTTGGCTAATGCCGCTGCGCGATTTTCCTCAAATTTATTTTTCTCTGTAGAATTACAATGTAAACAATAAGACATATTTTTCCACACATAATAATATTATTACAAACAGCGTACCAAATTTAGAGCAATCCGCTCCTAAAAGTCGTAAATAATGAATTGCATCGCAAGTAGGCACATATGCTCTAAGAGACATTATTCCCCTCCATCCTACTAGCTGAAGGTTTAGGCGATTTGGATTATCAGTCTTCTCTTCTTTGTATAACAGTATACAACTTCCAGTTGCTTAAATTAAATATATTTTTCAAGTAAAATTTATGAATTACTGTGTAAAAATAGTATAAAGAACCAAAAAAAGCAATTATATATAATTATATTTACCAAATTCCTTGAGACGTTCTTGAGTTTCTGAATTTAATTTTACAATTTCAGGTGGCGTGTGTGGATCATCATTTTGTAAAAGCATTATCAAATCTTCTTTTGAGATCTGAACCTTTCTGTCATCATTTATGTAACGAATGATACTATGCATCCCTTCTTGAGCAAGTCTAAAGGCGCAATTCATATTTTTATTGTCGCATCGTACGAACGTTTTGACGCCAGTGTTAATCATCTTTACTTTATTCTCATTAGATATCACTATATCACGAATTGCCGGCGACGTGAAATAAATATTTTTCTTTTTTCCTTCATGACATCTTACTAATAAACAACGTGGATCTAGATCATCAGATATGCCATAAAAATCTCTGAAAATCAAACAATATAAAGAAAATAATTGTATTAAATACTAAAAAAAAAAAAGGAAAAACGAAACTGAAACTCACTTGATAGACTGCCAGACATCTTCTGTTTGATCCTTAAAGAAAACGAATGGATCTTCTCTGTAACCGGTCATCCTTCTTCGCTTTTTTGATGGTTCCCGTGATTTCTTTTCTTTTTCTAATGTTCGTTTTCCACTTTCTGAAAGCTTTGTGTCTTCCGCAAATTCTTCAAGAATGTGCTTATCCTTGTTTTCGTTACCATCTGTATTCTGTGTACTTTGATTTAACACACAAGTTTCTCTTTCCCATGGTAGGGATTTTACTTTCTTCAGCACAGCGACGAAGAAACCTCCAGTATCTTGATGATGTGGTAATATCCTCATACTATAACATTGGTGAAAATATAATCTAAAGAAATATAACATTTTTATCTGTGTTAACTTATTTGTATAGTATTTACCAATGTTCAAGATGAAACTTAGAAGCTTCGTTTGCATCTGGAGGAAACATCTTCGGCCGTACTTGTGTTTGCCATTGTTCGGGAACATCCTCCCAGCTATTATAATATTGTAAATTTTTAGACGCCGGCTTCCAGTGTGTAACACCTAATTGCAAAATACAGTATATCATACATATAACAAAGATATTAAAAATTCACAAATATTTTTATGAATAATTTTTATATATATTTTACATCTATTATCTAGAACTAACCAGGATCGCATATTAATCCTGGCACTAAATCTCTACAGTCAATTAACTGCACTGAATCTTCAGTCTCACAAAGAAGCCTATGAAGTACTGCTTCATTTTCAATAGGATTTAGTGAACATGTGGAATAAACCATCTTTCCTCCAACTGCTAGCAATTCTAAGCCACGTTTTGCTATCCTGTACTGAATTCTATAAAATCATCGAAATATTTTCTACATTATTTACATAATAAATAATTTTACTATAGATTATGTTAATTTATACCCATGGAGATTACTGCCATTAGCAGGACTCCATTTGCACCATATATCTGGATTTTTTCGCATAGTACCATCACCACTACATGGGACATCCGCAAGTATCCTATCAAATCTGTCAAAAAAAAAAAAAACAAAGCTATAAGAATGCTCAGTAGAGAATACAAGTAATTGCATAAATATTATAAAGTTTGAATTATTACTTTAAGATATCTTTTGTACCATCTGGTTTTGTAATCATAAAATTTGGCATAATTGATGAATCATGGTTTGTAATAAGAATATTTGGGCTATTTAGCCTCTTAGCTTGATGCACCAGCATATAGCATCGATTGTTGTCAACATCATTAGCTATTACAAAACCCTCTAAAGGAAAATTTAAATATTAATGTTTACATTATGTTCATTTTTTTTATCGTATAGATTAGTATTAGTTACCTGGAGGATTTTCCTCATCTGCATGTATCATTTCTATAAGTTGCGCTGTTTTCGATCCTGGTGCTGCACACATATCAAGAACTTTATGCAAAGGTTTAACATCTAGGACCAAAGGAGGAACCATACTAACTACTTCCTGCCTGCTGATACTACCATTGTTAGTTTCAGCAATAAGGAAATTATGCAGCCTAAAGTATGCTTCAGATCGTCGAATGTCTTTCCTAGTTAATTGCAATTGCCAAGCTAATTCCTCTGGATAAAAGGGTAAACTATGTAATATAGTTTTTGCTTGACCATTAACATCTTCTTTATCACCATCCAAATCTGCATTTAAAATCTCTTTGAAGAAATCACTTTTGATTATTTCCAATAAGGCTTTAGCTTCAGCTTTTGAACCGGTAATACGGAAAGCAACTGGCAGATTAGTCCTTATAGTGCTGATAAATGCATCCCATTTATCTTCTGGCACTATTCCTTGCGTCTTGTAATAATTCTCAAAATCTTTGTTTTCCCGAATAATATCTGCATAACTTCCTGACTGAGAGGTATTATTCCATTCATTTTTCTACAATTATCAATTACATGTCAACACACTTTTCAAATTCACTATCATCTTGTATTAAATTAGGTAAAAAAAAATAAAACATTTATTTTAAAAAGAAATTAAATGTGTTGTTTTAAAAAGCCGTAAATATATACAACCTATGTCATGTTAAAATATATAACCTATATACACATTTTGTTTCAAATATTAATGAATAACCATACCTTCTGCTTCTCACGGCGTTTTTCAGCGAAGTTCTTTTTCGGCTTATGTTTTCGACCTTTACCCATTGCTTCGTTAAAGTATGAGTTTTTGATTAAGTAACACTAATAATCATTAATAACCGCGTACGATATGATCAATTCACACCACGCAGTACACAGAAACGTGCTGATATTAGGAATGTTCGATTCAAGATCGATTTTTTAGAAAATCGATTCTTTTACCTTCGATTCTTGATTTTTAAGATTGGCTGCGTTCAGCAGACTCAACAGTTTTGCAACCGTTTTATGATTATCTGCTGAGATAGGACCATTCTTCTAGATCTAAAAGTATGATCCAATTAGCGCGAAGGAAATTTCCAACAGTTGCAAAACAAACGTTCTGCTGAACGCAGCCATTGGCTGCGTTCAG